CTCTTTTACTGGCAGCTTAAGTTTAATTCCTGTTTTCAAATACTGCATACAATTCCAAGTGAATGAAGTGATTAGTGTGTATATAATGGCTAAATGAGTCCATTAGATAGACACTGACTGTTTGTAAACTATGTAACTTACTTTAAAATATAATAAGTACTCGTCTATGCTATGCTCTTTTATCAAAGTAGTATTTCCTCAATGTACATAGCACTCATTTTTTGTTTTTCTGCTAACTCAAATTGATTTTAGAAAATTTTGAAAATATAGAAGCGCAGAGTCTAAATAAAATATAATCATCAACAGTTTCATTTTCAAGAAATGAACACATCACTATTTTATTTCATTATTTTATCAATCATCCTCATTCCTATTGCTATGACAAGTAGCAACAGACCAGAGCCCAGAAAAACTTGGTACCAAAGATACGATATCACAGAACAATAAAAACACAATAGATTATTTTAAGAGAGAATTTATAAGCACTAATATATCATGCCTATAATTAGGTTTCCTCTAAAAGATACGTTTTTTTACTATTATATATTTGCATAGTGTTTCAGAAGTTTTATTCACTTTCATTCTAGCATTAGAAAGTCGTTACGAGGATCAATACTCATATTTTAACTAATGAATAAGCTGAGATGTAGTGACGGGTATGCCTGCATATCTCCGGGGCTCTTTACATGAATAGCAGAGACAGGGCTGCAGCTTTTACACAGGAGGTGAAATGAAAATGACTAACAATTCATGCATTTAATTCCAAATTTTTCTTGGAAGAGTACAAACGAGCATGTGCTAACCACAGGGGTAACTGGGGCTCAGGTCGATTTATTTTAACAAGTATGTAATGAGCACCCACTATATATGAAAATGAGCAAGACACTGTTCCTGTCTCCAAGGATTTCATAACCTAACGGATATCAGATTTATTATTCACAGCCAAATATAACTGTCATAGACGAGATGTGAAATGCTATGTAATCTTAAGAGATTTTTACCCTCTGCCCACACAACAAAAAAATCATAGCTAAGTCAACAAAAGGGACAAAATGGAATCATAAAAAATAATTAATAAAAAAGTATACAGAATAAAAGAGAGAAAAAAGAACAAAGAAACATAGAAGACAAACAGCAAGGTGGTATATTTAATTTAATCCCAACCATATCAATAATTACATTAAATATAAATGGTCAAAGTAGGGGGAAGACACAAACAGTTGTGGGAAATAGTAAGTTATATGAATGAGGTGGCATTTCCTAGAGATCTTTAAGGATGGGACATAATGTTAACAGAGAGAGATAAAAAGATATGGGGCATGTTCTGAGGCGGCCTCACAACATAATAAGATGAAGCTACAAGATCTATTTTACCAATGGTAATTCATCCACATGAACTAGACTACAATTAAGATGCATGGGAGTACTGGAAGACAAAACTGAACTTGTCAGGACCATATCTGGCGACCTCTGAATTCCAAAGGCAGGAGTTTGTAATCAATTTGGAAATTAGTGGAAAATTGTTGAAAGTGAAAAGATTGGAGCTGGGCTTTGGGATGACTAGTCTGAAAGTGATCAATTCTATACTTATAAATAGATTAAATCAGGATGGCATGAAGATGTATTAATAGAAATTTTCATCTCATATTTCCTTTAAGGTACAACAGAAAAGACTTAGTTAAAGTAGACAAATTAAGATATCAAGTCAAGCACAAGTTGGGACAGGGTGGGCAAGGAGATAACCAAGAACACCCACGGATAGAGGTTTTTGTTCAGACGCCTCTTAAAGGTGACATGTGGGACAGGACAGTGATGGGAAAATGAGAGTGAGGCAGAAGAAACTGTGACAAACGTTATGAGCAACTGAACTTTAAAAAAAACAGAAATAGGTACTGTTAGAACAAAATGTCCAAAGGAGGGCAAGGCATCCTCTTCAAAACAAAGTATATAGTAGGTGGAGAGTATAGGTCCTTCTACATCTTGAGTATATTTGGAGTATTTCAATTATTTGAAGTAATTTCAATAATTCTGTGTTTGGTCAAGATGGAATGTACTCAAAAGTTCAACCTGTAATAGCATCTCTCTCTATTCTACCTAATGTTTCCTGATCTGTAAATAGCAAACCTTAAACACATTATGCCTTGAAGTAAGATTCCTAAAGAGAATGTTGAGCCAAATAGTGCAGCTGTTAAAAGGTCCTGTTGAGAGCATGAACAAACCTCTGAGGGCAATATCAAAATGCCATATGTTTTCTATGAAGTAGTTCTTAATAGCAGGTGTGCACACATTCTGGAAACAAACAATAAATGAATCACTTGTTACTTAGATGGTAGGTTCTTAAAATAGCGGAATGGGTGGGTTAGTCATATCTGACACAAACTGCCCTTGCACGTGTCTGTACAGGAAATCTCAATTCACTGAAAATCATTTCAGCCATTCTTCCCAATGTTACATCTGAAGGTTAGAGTGGTATGCTCTGGAACCTGTGAGTTCTAAACATAGAAAACTCTCCATCTCTGACCTCATTCTCTACATAAAAGTTAAAAAAAGGTAGCTTTTTTTTGGGTCAAGATCACTTTGTTTATTCCTTTTTGATACAGGAAAACATTAGGTATGTATGAATTAAGTGAAAATGAATACACCCGAGTACGCTCCTTTAAGATTTTCAAGAAAACTTATTATGGTTGCCATTTAGAATTGCAGTCCTGGTTTATAAGGCAACAAAGAGTGGACCAATTACTCAAAAGTAAACATAAAAACAGGCCATCCAGATCCAGATATTTGGAGAAGAGACAAGAAATGAAAAACACCCACTTTCTGTCATAATTCTGCTTGGAAATGAAGTTATTTTGGAAGTTGACATCAGATGGACTATGAGTTTCTCATGTTTAAAAAGGTGAAAAATAAACAAACTTTTAATTCTCCTATTTAATTCCATGGTATTTCAACTGCCTTGGGTCTCACATATAAATAAAAACCTTTAACACACAGAATACAGTTATCATAGATCTTGTCACATAGCAGATAAGTGTTAATAATTATTATATTACTATGATTGTTTGTATATAGATTGCTACTGAGCACATATCCAGTATTAAGAGACTATGAATGATAATCACACAAATACTGTGTAATAGGTACCCTCACATCAGAGAGAATTTCTTTCTCTCATACTAAAAGGGAAGAAACTAATAATCTGGTTTGTTATCCACAGCTCAAAACTCTGGTCAAGTTTAATACCTTTAAAAGAAATAGAACTTTAGAAAATAGAGTTCTGAAGAAATGTCACTGATAATACAGAACTACAAAGAAAATTACTCATAGATTATATTATTGCTCTTTTATCCCTGCACCCTAGAATAATGTATGAGAACCAGAATTACCTGGAAAACTAGTAAATATGCAGATTCCTGGGCCCTCTCCACAGTACATTTGGGGTAGATACCAAGAATCTGAATTTCTAACAAATTTCCATGTGATAATAATATTGCTGACCTGCAGACCACAGTGGACTAGCACTGCCCTAGATCACGGGTCAGCAAACTATGGCCAGTAGGCCAAATTAGACCTGCTGTCTGTTTTTGTAAAACAAGTTTTCTCGGCACAAAGCCATGCCCGGTCATTTACACATTGTCCATGGGGGCTTTTGCATTACAACAGCAGAGTTGAGTAGTTGCATCTGACACCCTAAAGCCTACAAAGCTTAAACACTTACTGTCTGGCCTTTTACAGAAAATGTTTACTGACTCTTGCCCTAAAATGCCAGTCTTCTTCCTATTATCTAGTTAAGATCTCTGAAATTCAGAAATAAAATTTACTGCTATCAAATATGAAGACATGCAGTGAAACTGTTAGGGTATTTCAAAGCTCATAAAATGTTCACCATATTCATGCATGTCTGTGATTAACAGCAATGAGTTGCTGACTTTCTGCCATCATCTAATCCTGATGTCTGATGTGTTCCACAATTAAAATTCACCAAGTTACTCTCCTTTCTATAATGAAAAACATCTTAAAACCTGCAGTTTCAGAGAAATGGTGCAAATAAAATCTATACAGTACAAGAGAAAATATCCTGAAGCATTTAAATCTATATTAATAAATTTCTTATTTCTTTGAGAAAATACAGGCAATATAAAAAGCTCTTCATTATTTCTGGTAATAAAGGACAGGAGGTAGAGGATAAATTAAATCATCAGTTTACCCAATAATCTTCTGTGTCAGCATATGTTATCCTCTGCTTTCCCTATTTCTGCATCAGTGGATAGGTTAACAAATAATGGCACTGTGAGACAGCAGCAGCAACAGGCTGGCATCAGTCTTACAGAGTGGTGGCTGCAGGTCTCAGATCTCTCAGATGTGTTTTGTTACCAAATTTAAACAAATTTTTGCAGGATTCTAGTCAATTCACCCCTCCACCATTCCTCCATATCTTATGCCAGGCTTGATTCGAACATTTATATTAGCTGCTGCACTCCTGGAGGAATTTGATTTGGAAATCTCCAGCCTAAATAATATTCAAAATAAAAACATCAGGTCATATAAGCAGACAACTGTTAAAGGTTATTATGTATAGTTGTTTGTATGTGTACCTATATAAATGAAACTAATAGTTGCACTAGTAAGGAACTAATAGTGCCTTAGAGCAAAAGTCTCAGATTGTTATACAAATGGGGCAATTCAATTTTGTGAAAGGCAATACAGTTTAGTCATCCCCACTAAAAGTGTGAGACTAACAGACTTATGACCTTATTATAATGATGCCTCCAGAAGTTCAGGTTACTTTTACATCTTCTGGTAAATAAAACCCATGTTTATTGGGCTATATGAACAGTTTTCCAATTAATAATTACATATTTGGTTTCTTTAGAACCATTTGTCTTTGAATGAGTACCTCCCAAACCAGCATCTAATAAACTTTCAGTAAACAGGAACAGTTCTCATTGTTAGAATATGAAATAGCTAGTAAATTAACAGAAGGAAAGTTTGTCAGCTAATACCTGTTGCACGATTGTTGTCAATTCCAAGCAGAGCTGTATGACATTATTCCTTGTAACTGAATAGTCTGTGACGGCAGCAAATGGTGACCTATAAAGACAAAAGGAAAACTGTGATTAATAGGAAAAGCTTTTAAAAGGTCCCAAAATAAAATAGACTATAATAAGATTTTGAATAATATAAAATGAATTGTTCTGAAGTTTACATAGTGATAAAAAATATTCAGGATATATCTGAGGAAAAGAAAATTGAGGGAAATGCTTAGAAGAGAATTAAATTCAAGAAACATCACGTTTGCTTTCTGTCAAATTCTTTTTTTTTTTTTAGTTCTTAATATTTGAAAGTTCTTTGGTACTCCTTACAAGGTCTTTTCACTACGTCTAAAACAAAACAACAAAAAAGGAGTACTTTAGGCAAAGACAACATCTTAGTTTACTTCAAATGAAGCTAAGATTTTGAGTACACTTATCTTAAAATATTCACAATTAAGAGCTAGTAATGACAGCTAACACTTACTGAGGACTTACTATGTCCCAGTTACTGTTATAAATGCTTTACATGTGCTAAATAATTTTCACAACTCTTATGAGATAAACACTATTATTATTTCCATTTTATAGATCAGAAACTTGAGGTAGAGAAATGTTAAGTGACAACTAGTAAGTGGTGGAGCTGATATTCAAACCTGGGAAGTTCGACTCCAGAGCCCATCCCATCCAAGAGTTAGATACTACTATAGCGGCTCTAGGAACTTATGTAGGTTTTATCTTGTACTAAACCAATTATTTATGCCACTTCATACCCTTTTTCAAACAACTTGTTATATAAATAATAAATATATTATCAATATAAGGTTTATATTTTCAAGAATGTTATACACAGCAGAAGTCTTTCCTATAAAGTGTTTTGCTACCAAATGAATTCAGTGGCTTTCCATCACCCCTTATCCTCTTTTGTCTGCGAATGCTAATCAGGTTTTTGTGGGGCCAAGGCTATGATTTGGGAGGTGCAGTTTAAGGAAAAGAAAACAAAATCACCAAAAGAAAAGAAGGTATGGAGGTGAAAATTTAGTCAAATTACTGGAACCTTAGTGCTTTGGATCTCTTTCTATTTGTATCTCTTTAAGCTATTTACTAGACATGCTTATATAGAACTGCTTCCTCATTACAAACTGAATTTGTGTCTCTTCTAGAAAACTCTACAACTCAAGCACTTCTCACTCTCATAGGGGTCCATATAAGAGAGAAGCTCTTTATCGGCCTTTTTGGGGGGAGAGGGGGTGAGGAAGATGGGCCCTGAGCTAACATCGGTGCCCATCTTCCTCTATTTTGTATATAGGATGCCACCACAACATGGCTTGATGAGCAGTGCATTAAGTCTGCACCTGGGATCTGAACCTGTAAACCCTGAAGCGGAGCACACAAACTTAACCACTACACCACCAGGCCAGCACCAATTGGCTATATCTTTTTTAAACATATTTTTCACTTATATTTTTTATTGGGCCATTCTAATAGTTATGTAGTGGCATATCATCATGGATTTAATTGGAATTTCTGCAATAGTTATATATATTTTCTATATTTATATTATATATTACCTATATCTAATAGGTATTTATATTCCCCTCATAATTTTCTAATCAGTAATGATGCTGAACATATTGATGTAAATATTTGCTATCCATGTGTATGTACTCTTTAATGAAATGTCTGCTCAAGCCCTTTGCCCATTTTCTATTTAGATTTTTGGTATTCTTACTACTGAGTTTAGAGAGTTCTTAATACATTGTGGACGCAAGTTTTTTGTTGAATAGGTGATTTGCAGTATATCTTCTCAGTCTACGGCTTGTCTTTCCATCCTCTTGACAGGATCTTTGGCATATCATAAGTTTTTAATTTTAATGAGGTCAAACTTACTGATACTTTTCTGGATTGTACCTTTAGTGTTATATCCTAGAAATCCTCAGCTGACCCTCAGCCATGTTTTTTCCTAAAAGTTTTAGTTTTATTTTTTACATTTAGATCTGTGCTCCATTTTTGAGTTAATTTTTGTATAAGGTGTGAGGTTTGGGTAGAGGTTCACTTGTTTCCCCAATCCGTATTCAAGTGTTCCAACACCATCTGTTGGAAGACTACCCATTCTCCACTGAATTGCTTCTGCTCCTTTGTCAAAAATTAGCTAACCATACTTATAAAGGTACAGTTCTGGATTCAGTCTTGCCACTAATACCACAGTTTTGATTACTGAAGTTATATAATACTTAAAATCAGGTAACTTCTTTTTCAAAATAGATGAACTATTCTAGTGTTTTTGCTTTTCAATATAAATTTTAGAATCATACTGTCTGGAGTTATAAAAGAAATCCTGCTGGAAGGGAGGTTTGAAGAGAACTGGCATCTTAACTAAGTTGAGTCTTCTAACCCATGAACACAATTTCTCTCTCCATTTATTTAGGTCTTAGGCAATTTCATACATCAGTGTTTTATAGTTTTCACATTACAGATCCTATAGACATTTTGCTAAATTTATATGTAGGTATCTCATTATTTCTGTAGCAACTGTAAATTGTACAATGTTTTAAATTTTGTTCCCAATTGTTCATTGCTAGTATATAGGAATATTATTAATTTTTCTGGGGCCAGCCCCATGGCCAAGTGGTTAAGTTCACGCACTCCGCTTTGGCGGCCCAGGTTTTTACCGGTTCAGATCCCGGGTGCAGACATGGCACCACTCATCAAGCCATGCTGAGGCAGCATCCCACATGCCACAACTAGAAGGACCCACAACTAAAAATATACAAATACGTATTGGGGGGCTTTGGGGAGAAAAAGGAAAAACAAAAAAAAAGATTTAATTTTTCTGTGTGGACTTCGTATCCTACAACTTTGCTAAATTCACTTACTACTTCTAACAGACGTTTTATAGATATTTTCGAATTTTCTACACACTGGCACATATTATCTGCAAATAGGGAAGGTTTCCATTTTTTCCTTTCTAATCTCTATGCCTTTTATTTTCTTTTCTTGCCTATTGTACTGGATATGACTTCCAATACATTATTAAATAGGAAGGGTGAGAGTGGACAGCCTTACTTTATTCCCAATCTTAGGAGGAAAGCATTCAATCTTTGACAACGAAGTATTAGATCAGCTGTTGTTTTTTATATATGCTCTACATCAAGTTGTGGTCTTACCACTCTATTCCCACCTTGCTGAGAATTTTTCTCATGAATGGCTACAGGATTCTACCAAATGCTTTTTTTATATTAACTGATACTATCATATGATTCTATAATCCATTGATATAGTGGAGTACATTGATTTATTTTCAAGTGTTGAAGCAGCCTTGCATACTTGGAACAAATCTCATTTAGCAATAGTGTATAATTCTATTTATATATAGTTGGATTTGGTGTGCCAATATTTTGTGGAGGATTTTAACACATAAGTAACATAAGAGATATTGGTCTGTAGTTTCCATTTTTTCTACCATCTTTGTCGGGTACTGGGATCAGGATAATGATTGTCTCATAAAATGAGATAGAAAGGGATTACCTCCTCAACTATTTTTTGGAATAGACTGTGTATGACTGGTGTTTCTTCTTCTTTAAACATACAGAACTCACCAGTGAAATCATCTGGGCCTGGAGCTTTTTTCCCCTCACTCCAAAGAGTTTCTAAGTACAATTCAATTTAATAGTTACAGGATCATTCAGAGAATCTCTCTCATCTTGGGTAAGTTTCAGTAGTCTGTGTTTTTTAAGGAGTTGGTCCATTTCATCCAAGCTGTCAAATTTATGTATGAAGAATTCTTTGTAGCATTCCTTTATTTCATTTTAATTTTGATTGACTTCTCTATTGTGTTTCTGTTTCCAGTTTCATTAATTTCCGCTCTTCTATCATTATTACTTGTCCCTTTCTGCTTGCTTTGGGTTTATTTTGCTCCTATTTTTTTAAACTTTATTTTACCGTAAGAATACTTGAGATCTACCTTATAATAAAATTTTAAGTGTACAAGACTGTATTGTTAATTATAGGTACAATGTTCTACAGCAGATCTCTAGAACTTTCTCATCTTTCTTAATTGAAACTTTATGCCCACTGATTAGCAATTATTTTTCTATTTTCTTGAGAAGGGAGCTTAGATCATTGATTCAAGATCTTTCTTTTTTCTCGTATAATCATTCAGTGCTATAAATTTACCTCTCAGCACTGCTTTTTTTTGTGTGTGTGTGCTACAAAAATTATGATTTGCTCTATATTCATTCTGTTCAATGTATTTCTTATTTCCTTTGAGACGTCCTCTTTTATCCATGGATTACTTAGAAGTGTACTGTCTGACTTCTAGTTGATTCCATTATGGTTAAAGAATACATTCTAACTGATTTCAATTTTTCCAACGTGTTGAACTTTGTTTTATGATGCAGGTATGGTCTATCTTGGTGAATGTTCCATGGGAACTTGAAAAGAATTTGTATTCCGCTGCTGCTGGATGAAGTGCTCTAAAAAGTCAATTATATCTTGTTTGGTGGTATTGTCCAGCTCTTCTAATCCTTACATTCTGTCTAGTAGTTTTTATCAGTTTTTGAGAGTGGAAATGAAGTATCCAACTGAAATTGTGGACTTGTCTATTTCTTCTTTTAGTTCTGTCAGTTTTTGCTTCACATACTTTGAGGCTCTGTTGTTTGGTACATACATCTTATCAGCAATTTGTTTCTTCTTCTTTGAATTATCTATTTATATGCTCATCTATTGCATTTCAGCGTTTTTGTTTTTAATTTGAATGTAATATTCACATAGCATACATTAACCCCCTGCTTCTCATATCTGTTTGTTGCAAGTATTTTTCCCAGTTTATCACTTGTCTTACCCTTTGCCATGTTTTTCAACTTTATGTAGTCAAAGTCAAATAGTGTATTTCTTTATACCTTATTCCATATTTTTAAATACTTACTAAGTCTTTCTACATCTAGAAATCATTTTTGGTCTATATTTTCTCCAAGTTTTCTTATGGACTTATGTTTTCTACTTAAATAAATGGTAAACCTAAATTATTTTAGTGAACAGGTAGTATTCTATCATTATTTA